AATCACACTCATGAATACAAATGTTCGTATCGAGGAATCGAAACCGCGACCATTGGAATTAAAACGAGATGGTCAGACGGCCTTGATAGTCCATCGCTAAACCGATAAGCCATTGACAAAGTTTTCTGAAATCTGCTAGATTTAAACTCATGATCTTTTTTTCCCCTCCGTCGGATCCCAATTTAAACGGGGATCGACTGACTGACTGTCTGACGGGGGCTGAGCCGAGGTTCGAACCGCTTGCGGTGCCTTCAGACTAAAGTCGTATCCGTCAGGCGGGAGTTAGCCTTCAGCTGCTCCATAAGCCCTTCTTCGGGTTTGGAGTGCCATCTGCACTTGCCTCCTATCCTCCGGTGAAGCTGTAAATGCCAGCTGCGGCCAACAGTATTAGAGTAGTGGACAAAAACATCTTTCTTTTTAAGTCCGGATTATTTTATTATATAATATTATAAGGTCATGACGCTTTCTCTTCTCCCATTTAAAAGAATAAAGTAAATAAAACGTAAAGGCACTTTAGACAAGGACGCACTCTAATATGTCACGAATGTGCTAAGAGCAGATACTCGTATAAACTAATGCAGCAGCTCAGTACTAACGTCTCTTACTGCACTTTGTCAGTTAAACTCTATTAGTATATATGTAGGTTGCATTTTGCGGTGGTGTAGTGGATTAGCACTATGCCATTTGCGATGGCTTCGAAATCGATCCGTAAATTTATTTTAACTTTATTTACCTATAAAATACAGTACAAATATACCTACATCTATACACAATTATAGATATATGATTAATATAAGTATAACATATATAAGTATAGTAAATTATATAAATATTTGCAGTATTGGTCTGGATATTATCAATGTATAATATGTATTATTACAAATGTTTTCAGTAATTTATATTGTTTGTTAGTTAAAAAATAAATTAATAAATATATCTCTCAATTGTCTAATATTATAAGTAATACAAGCTTAAAAACCATATTTCATACATTAAAAATGCATGTAATTAAATAAATAAATAAATGTAAACATCATAAACCAGCTTTATTTTCACCGTAATCGGGTAAAATGTTTCTTTACAAAACGATGAGCACAACACTGAATATTCAGATAGTAATGAGGAATAAACTGAATCAGCCAATCATAAACAGTGTAATGAAATTCCGTGAAACAAGAAAGTGGCAAATTATGCTACAAATAAACAAAATAATGCAGGCCAACCTGAATCACAGATATGCTAATTTACATCATTTGGCAATAGCACCAGTTGCCGTTAGCATAAGCGGAGCGATTGTGACAAACTTAGTTTAATAGACTTTGAAATTTTTACCATACTTACAGGAAATTGTATACCAGTAGGGAATTCTATTTTTTATTTACCGAACTGCTAAATAAGTTCACGTTTAAATAAAAATGGTTTGTGTAATAAAGCTCTAAAGCATTTAAAGGCAACATTTGAGTTTTTCTTAAGATTAAAGGTACCGTCAAAAATTAAAATCCGTAAGACGTTTAATCGTGAAAAGGTTACAAAAACACAGAGAGATAAACACACTTAAATTAATAATATTTCTATTAAAGTATTGATTTTAGCTTTGTATACACATTTTTATTTCTATTTTAACTCTTATATATTTATGTATTAAATTGTAAACTTTGCTATAAATTTGTATTTATAATAAGCATTAGGATTTTTAACGTAAATGATAATTACCATTAAATTAATGTTACTCTGTATTTACTTAAAAAAAATACTTAAAGAGTAACAGACAAGTTTCTTGCTCTTCTTGTGATGAGTGTACGTTCCGTATAGGTATACAATTCTGGTTAGTTAGTTATAGTGGTAAAATATTAAAAGTGCTTATATTAAGTTTATTTGAATAAAAAATATTTCTGTTCTGTACGAAACGTAAGTGATAAATATACTCGGCAGAAAACCTATAATTACTTATGGTTATTTTTCTAGCCAGTATTCATCATTTATTTCTGTTTGTTCCCATATAAGTTTAATTCCAATTCTGTGAGGATTGTGTTGAAAAAAAGTCGAAATATAACAGTGATGTCCGCTTTCCGCTTACGTTCCGCTATGCTAAGCTGACACTCAATGTCATTAAATAACAGAAAACATTTCGTATAAATTTTCGCGAGTCTCACAGCAAAATAATCGTATTTTCGGTTCATTTGGTTGCTTCCTCTGCCTAATTTGCTATCTCCGCATAATCATTGCACGTAAATTTTATTCAGCGGAAGGTGGTATTAAATAAGACCCTTTTTCCAGTCAAAGCATGAGTTTCAATCATGATCTTACGCGATTTAGCTGATTTCTGAAGATGTAAACCTCCAAAGATAGATAGAAGTATATATATATTGAAAATGTTTTGTAATTGAAACTTGTTTGTTCAAATGGTATTAACCACATTACTTACCTGATATTTCATACATAACAAATATGTTATCTGTGCTTTTATTCATAACACCTCTAAATAACTATGAAATTAAAGTCAATGTCACAGATTTATGATACAGGTACACAATGGGCATGCAGGAGGATATATCATATTTATTAAATAATATTATAGGCTAAATTGATCGGATAGTATATTATTAATCTCCTAATAAAGATTATATAGGCATTAATGATAGATGGCCAAGATCTTTTAATAGATTGTAGAGGCATTTTGTTGGTATATACTCTCAATTACGGCATATATAATTTAACCACATCGTTTAACGATCAATTGAAGCTAGTTCGTGTTATTTATGTTTTTCTTTCACAAATATGAAAGGTTTACAGTAAAAATTTTCATAATTTCATTCAAAAGTCATTCCAGAATAGCTATCGCAAAATATTCAATGCAGGAATTTTATATTACTACAATTTCATTACTTTCTTTTTTATTTTACTATACAATTTTGAAATTGGAACATTCACAAATGAAACAACGGACCATCAAAAAATATCAATTCATCCACTTTTCTGCATTTTTTACGACAGACATGAGATATTAAACGACAATAGAATTCTCGAGGACGGAAGTCAATTTAAAAATTCCTATTTCAAAATACTCGTCGTTATTTTGTTCGAGTCACAGATGTCGTTTCGGAGTCGAAATGAAATTCTGCCGTCACTTGTTCATTGACAACTACGCACCGACGTGCCTTGAATCTTAAATACATTTTTCTGCCGACATTTTGATAGGTGTTTTGCTTTCTTGTACATCGATATTTCATTATGTAAAACAGTATTATGTAATACATCAGTATGATTCTCATCATGTGTTTACTATTCAGTTCTCATTTTGTTTATACGTGAAAGTAATCTACGATAAAACTTGATGTATTCAAAGAAATATTTCGCTTTTTATGAAATTAAGATTGACTGCTAGTGTTGGTACTTTGTTTAGGATATATGTAAGGTGTTTTTAAAGTACATGTTTATGTATATTATAAAAAACTTACAACTATCTAAAATTCAGTATCTACCCCAATATGTGTAGAAAAAAAAATATTTACGATATGTGATGTGTAGGTATTATGTTTAAATATTAAATGAAATGGAATGAACTATTCCATACAGATATTATCCCCGATACTTTTTATTAAAACCTTACTAATATTATAAACGCGAAAGTTCGTGAGTGTGGAAGGACAGATGAATATTTGTGACTCTTTCACGCAAAAACTACTGGATAGATTTTAATGAAACTTTTAAATAATATATCTCATACATCGTAGTAACGCATAGGCTATAAATTGCATACGGATGAAACCACGGGCACAGATAGCTGTACACGTGTACACTCGTGCGAAGCCGGGGCCGGTGACTAGTATATAATAAATTATACATAGTTCCTCACTTCTACTTTTTATTAATTAAAGTTTAAATGACTAGTTACAAATTCACATGAGATAATATAAAGTTTCCACAATGACAATATTGACGTATTATGTAGAAGTATAATAAACCTGAAAGAATTTTGATTATCGAAATAAATAATGCGATAACCAATAATGCAATAATGAATAATATTATGAATAGTTCCACTTCATAATATTCTGCGTGGGACATGTTTGCGGCAGGCGCGCGCAAATGACGGGCGCCATTTTGAATCACATGTTCTATCCACCAAACAACGTGCTCCATCGGCCGATGAGGCTGATCTGATAACAACTTGCGTAGATTAGCGATGTTGCGGCGGTAACTGTAAATTGAAAGTTTTCATTGATGTCATATTTTCATTGTCACTAATATTATAAACGCGAAATCTGTCGGTCTATCTGTCGCGCTGTCATGCCAAAACTACTGAACCGATTAAATGAAATTTGGTACACAGATAGTGTAGACCCTGAGAAAGGATATGGACTACTTTTTAATGTGATCCAAGTATCCATGCGCCCATGACATTATTACACGGGGATGAAGTTGAGTGTCAAAAATGTAACTTATTCTGAATGTGTTACCATTTCAGAAACCGTTTAAATGTGTAAGATATAATAATATGTTTAAAGTAATCAATGTAAGACCACATTTCATAACAGGAAGATTATAATATTGAAGACAAGACGACACTTACTATTTGTATTTGTAAGTCTATTTGCTTTAGTCGTTATTATTTTGCTTATACCACAATGATGGTAATCAAGGATATGGTATATGTACATACATTTATAAGCACCATCTAATGGTAAATAATTATATATTATAACAAAGTAAAAGATACAATTTGAATCATAATCAACACAATTTTGATTATGATTCAAATTATAAAAAATATTATCTTTACATAGTATAAAATAAAGTCACTTCCGATGTTATGTTAGATTTTTTAAACTACGCGACAGATTTCATTGCAATATTTACCAATAGATAAAGTGATTCAAAAGGAATGTTTATATGCATTAAAAATGTACACTCGTGCAAAGTTGGTACGTGTAGCTTGTAACTATTAAAAAAAATATAAACGAAATATGACTATAATCTATATAAATTATTAATTTAGTTTACCTTTCATCCGACAGTACAGTTTCAATTGTTTTTCTAAATATTTCAGCAGTGACAGTATGGAAATTAATCATATCACCAATTTTATGATATCTGTACTTTTCAGCATTGTAACATTGATCTCCTATAATTGGTACAGCAATTAGAGGAACTTCGGCAGCTATCGCTTCGTGTGTCGAATGTATACCTCCCTGAGTTATAAACAGTTTCATATTTGGATGTTCTGAAAAATATAAATCTGATTCAATTTAAGAAATAACAAGTAATACTACTTTTAAACACCATTGATTAATATATCCGTCATACTCGTGAACGGATGCTGCTTGTGGGGACTGACTAGTCTGTTCACGTTACGAACACTGATTAGACTTTTTGCTATTGTAATAACATATATTGTCACTTTTGTATAACATTTATTTGGAAAGAATACGAGCTGAGTTTCTTGTCAATTCTTCTCATCTCAAAATAATTCCGAACTGACGGTAGATTTGATATATCATAAGAGTCTGTAATAGACCTACATGAATAAAGATGTCTTAAATTTGAATGTGAAATTAGTACCTATATAAAAATTAATTCCTAATTCCTTTATTCACGCCACAACTTGGAAACGATTTAACAGATTATTAATATAGTTTAACGAGATTCAACACGAATAATTTTATGGAAAATCAAGGTATTTTCCTCTTTTGAGCTCGTGACCACAGCTAGTGCAACCTAGTAGAAACGTCGAGAGAATTATTCGTGTTAAAACCCGTTTAATTATCTTAATAATGTGTTCTAAACGCGACAGTATAAAAATAAGGGATTAACTGATTTCATTCATATATTTTTATCATTATCTCATTCTCTGTAGAAATGTTTAAATACAGAGATAAATTTAGAAGATTACCCAAAATTTCTCTTATTTACGATTATACCTAGAAAGACATGAAGGTTTATAAAAATGTTCTCGAATGTTCTTGATTACAAAAAAACTGTAATAGAATAACTATTAGTTTACTACTGAAATAATATACCTAATCTCTTTCATTCCACTGTAAGTAGTGAGGTTATACATATTATTTAAATCAGCAGAATGTTCACTATTGTTTTATTATTGTATATTTGAAAGAAATACTCACTCAGAAGTTCAGATTGCGGGACCCATTCTAAAACTTTAATATTTCTCGGTATATCAGAAAATTGATTCTTCCTAGATTTCCAAAGAATATTGTATGGCATCTCGGATAAAACATTCATAAACATTTGTAATTTATCTGTGGGTAAATCGGTCGTCGACACTGTCGTTCCAAAACTCACGTATATGACGCCATTTTCGGAAGTATCCAAATAGTTTTTTAAGTCCTGAAATATAGTGTCATTCAAATTTCACCGTATTATAGCTTTGAAAACAAATTAATGTGTAATTAATGCTAATTAGCATTATTAAGTAATTAATGCAAATAAGCTGTCGGGCCACCTGATGGCAATAAAATGGCAATCGTCTTGTATACATGAGTAGTGCGACGGATATGACATCATTATGCGATACCTGTAGTACTTCCTCAAGCGTTGACATTTCAGAGAACTAATTTTTTGTATACCGTATATTTTCTAGCCTACAGCACTGCGACCTACCGTGATCTAATGTGGCCTTTAGGCCTACCAGGGATAAGAGTTGAGGTATATTTTGGAGCCATGATTTTTATCTCCTCAGAATAGAGTGTATACTTTGGAAAGTACACACTTCAAGGCACAGACATCAGTTTATCATGTGATGCCTTTAGAACTCCTCATGCATTGCTATTCCAGAGGATTTCATTACAGCCTGCAAGTAGCTTAATTTATAAAAAAATAAAAAATATGTCTCATCTATCATCGCTACCAAGCAGCTTATATATCAAGACATTAAAAGACCATGTTAGAACAAACTTAGGCTGTTTCTTAGCACAGAAATGAGAAGAGGTCTGCTGCGGATCGACACCGTCAGGGTTGCGAAAGTTTGCTCGTGTATTCCAGAAGGAACATCTTGGAGTTTTGCCGGTAAGATCCAGCAGTACCCGTATATCACCCTGGGGTGGGATAAAAAAGAGTTAGAGTATCTCTGGTTTTATTTGCACCGATCAAACATTTCCTTTGTTAATAACTTAAACTTAATAATTTTTTTTTAGTTATTATATAATATCGCGCAGACATACATAAAACATATACTTGCACAACAGACAAACAGATAGCAAAATATAATATAAACAGATTATTTGAACAATTGTAAAATATAGACAATAACGCAAATGATATTTCAAGAACATAACCTTTTCTCTGACATTGGTGTCAAAATTGCCTGTAATCTCGTACTCATGAATGCAATCCAAACTCTAACATCAAATATCGAACCTACCTGTTTTAGTATTACATTACTTTGATAACAATTTCTTTAGTTTAAATTTAAACTATATATAACTTAATGAAAATTGCCGTTATTAAATCACCAGCTTATCTCATGCTATGGGAAGAATATAATCTTATAAACTTAGTAGAAAATCATATCATTCATGATTGCTTATAAATTAGAAGCATTGCACATAAATTTTTACCTGTGACAATTCTTTATGTGGGCCTCTATCTATTTCACCGTAAAATATAATACTGGGCGGTACAGGTTGATTATCTGCCCAAATTCTATGTACATTTAAAAACATCACACTATCATGATTATTATTAATATCTCTTATTGTTGGAATGTCGTTTCCAAAAATTTCACTCAGTTTTACATCATCATATTTTGTGTGATAGTATTCATGTTGTTCAAACCAAAAATGATTAAACATATTATTTAGTTTCTCCCAAAGAGTGAGATTATATAATCTTTGCTGCATATGCTCTGGATAAAATAATGGATGTACAACGCCTCCTAATGTATTAAGTTCATCAAAATGACCACCTAGAGAGGATAATCGTATTGTTGGTACATTAAATAGATGTGCCAATACTGTATTCATTCTACCTCCTGCTTCGAATAATACAACGTCATAACTTCTTTTTCCATCTTTGATCAGCTTTTGCACTTCTTTAGATTTCAATTGAGCATTACATATATTTGTAGTGTATTTAGAAAATATTTCTTTCTGACTTTTGGTATCAAAAATATTATTATCTGTGACATATTCCATTAACCTTTTACTAACGTTATCTGTTGTATATTTCATATCGATTTCAATGAGGTTGGATGGGACGCTCCCGTTGGTAAAAGCAGGGAGTGGGGTTACTATTACAACGTTTGATCCTCGTTTTGCAAGTTCTTGAGGGACAGGTCTCATAGCTATTTGATGACTGTCTATTGGAGCTGACAGCATACTTAGAATTCTTCCACATCTTTTTCCATTGGCAATATTTGGTAATAATAATAGTGGTAAAAAAGTTATCAGGGAAACCATCATATTTTTTTACTTTAAAATATTGATTGTTAACTGATTAAATATATCACGTACTAGACGAATAGCAATAGTTTGACTTTGAGACAGAATAATGTGCAGTGGATCTATTTATAGGTCGACATGTATCACTATAAAGTCGTAGAGTTGCCATGTTAAAATTTATTTATTACCCCAATGTTAGGTACATTGTACAGGAAGTAATTTATAGTGTGAGTGATAATTAAGTAATGTATTTAGAACAAGATTGTATGTCTGTTGTAAATCGACTTTACATTTGAATTATATTATTTAGATATTATTTATGAATATATTTATGGTATAATATTATTTATGAACAGCCGATAATGCTACCATTTATCCCATACACTTGTCACGGTAATCTTATTACGAACTACGTATTGTCCATACTTAGAGTAATGGTGTAATGGTGTGTGATTGATAATCAAATAAACAAAAAGATGAAAAAATATTTAAAAAATTAAGAAAGAAATTCAGTTCAGTCGTTTTCCATTCATAAGAAAGTAAAATATGCTACATGAATAAATTATGATTGATTTGAATTGGTTTATTTTTTATTAAATAAATATAGATACTTATTTTTATTCACTGAAGTTTGTTGACAAGTTATAGCTCAGATTTCTTAATTGATTCATCTTGATATAGTGTATATAATTGTAAATAACAGTGAAAAAAAAAATTTATTAACGCATATAACGTATTTTCCTAAAACACCCATGTGTTATATAAATACTTAACAGATCTGGATAAGTGGTAGAGACTGCTATTGTTACCATGTTATTCATATTTTAAATGAATAATAATTATAATAATAAGAGTTTATTTCTATTTATATAAATAAATATTATTTGTAGTAAGAAAATCTTATTGTTATGAATATAAATATAAAATAAATTATTTCACAATACTGGATACTATATATAAACTGCGTGAGTCTTATTCTTTTAACTGAATATAAACTTTAACTATCGACCCCGCAAACGTTGTTTTGCCGTATAAATTAAAATCGCTATTAAAAACCAATTTTTTATTCATGGGTGAAAATTTAGGGTTGTATGTATTTTTCAATCCTAAATAATTATAAAATAAAAATGAAATGTTATGTCGACAAAATAAAAAAATAAATTTTTGTGTGGATATCCCTTACCACTTAGAGGTATGAAAAATAGATAGTAGCCAATTCTCAGATCTACTGAATATGCATATAAAATTTCATAAAAATCGAACAAGCCGTTTGACAGGAATATGGTAACTAACATTGTGACACGTAAATTTTATATATAAGATATATTTTCTATAAACTAAAAATCCATCACTTTTTGTTTTCACAATAAAAATAGTGAATCCATTTATATTCAAAATATTTAACGCTGCTTATATTGCACATTTATGGGCTTAACTCAAAAGTTATAAATTTTGGAAAGTCCACAATATGTCTTTATATTTCAAGTAAAATTTCTAAAATTTAAAATTTCTGAGTTACACCAGTATTGTACGAGATAGGTGATATGTTAATATCTTACAAAACAAAAACATTATGTATTACATTATACTGTTATCAATTCGTTTTGTAATAGTATAGTACTGAAATAAATTACATGGGATTAATGTACTATTATCAGTTAACTAGCAATATATTATATAACACGGGCTCGATGATCTAGCGGTTTAGTACCGATTTACTTCCGTGGTCGCGGATTCTATTCCTCGCACAGTACAAACATTTGTATACATGACTATAATTGTTTGTATAGGTCTGGATGTTTTCTATGTATTTTACGTATATGTATACATATTTAAAAAAAAACTGTTTAAGTATTTATATCACTTGTCAACAACATAACATAAGCTCTGCTTTCCGTGGGACTAGACGGCGCTGTGTTAATTGTCCAGGATTATTTATAACAATTGTCTTAGCGAAAGAAAATTTGTAATGAGAAACATACAATCCAACATGTAGACTCCATGGTATTTCTCTGTCCATATACAAAAACTATTAAAAAAAATCATATGACGAAAACAGTTCTAATTTGTGTATTCTAAGAAAAATATACAAAACCGTTTTTCATTGAATACTTAAATTACTTTCTTTCATTGCATTTTTTCATTATTTCAATTATTCGAGACGTAAAGAATAGTTTTCTGAAACTAAAGGACCTGCAAAGTAAATACTTAATATATTTATTCTAGTAATATTTGCCACGACTCTATATATTTTAATTATATAAAGTTGTGTTTATTTATTAAAATTAAAACAACAATTGTTTAAACTACTAAATCCATACAATTCAGCTTAGATTAATTATATTTAGTAAGTTTGAGAATCAATAATAATAATTAGATTTAGTAAACTTAAGTATCAATAATAATATAATTATAATTAATAATTGGACGGCCTTGGTGGTTTAGCAGTTTAGCACGCCGCCTTACTTTCGACAGTCGCGGGTTCGATTCCTCTCACGGCATAAATATTTGTATTCAGGAGTATGGCAGTTTGTATCGGTCCGGGTGTATACATACGTATGTATTAAAAAAAACTATGTATTTGTATCACTTATCTAGTACTCATAACACAAGCTTTACCTAGCTTAACTTGGGTCTAGATGGCGCTGTGTGAATTGTCCTAAGATTATTATTATTATTATTGATAATTTTTTTTATATATTCCATTTTAGAAGGAAGGAAGATCATGCTTATGATTTTTATATAATAGATTAACATTAGGAAGTAGAAATTATATACTGACATTGGCTTCGCAGTAAACATGTCCTAACTTTACTGTGAAACCAAGAAAAGTAAAACTTCTTGAAGGGCACAAATTTCGCTCGCCGCCATTTTATCTTGCACGAAATATTTCATACGAGATCTGAGAAACATTACGTAGGCCGTACATATCGCGAATACGATTCTATATCTTGTATGAAAGTTTTTACCTTAGCAAACTTTCAAATTCTGATTTATGCTTTAATATTTCCCGTTATCAGTTCGAGTAACATTTTTATTGCTTACATTCCCAATAAAATTGTGTCACAATAGATAAAATACCTGAAGTATATTATGCCTACTAATACATATTAAACGCGAAATTCTTGTATGTATGGATGTATGTTTGTGACTCTATCACGAAAAAAATACTAGACGGATTTTAATGAAACTTTACAGTAATATAGCTGACACATCAAAATAACGCAGGGGCATATAATTTAAAAGATATTATGTAAATCTTGCGACATATAACCATAAATGTCAAGCAAGGAAAAAAATCTCCCATCTGCGAGTGATCCAGCATGCGCTGCAGTCGTTAGAGTCATATGAATATGTATAAGAGTGACATTTTTCTACGAGCCATTTCCGTAGTTCTGTTTTAAAACTAATGACATCTGGTAATTACCTGTGGTATTTTATTAAATCATTTATTCAATTAAACTTAATTTAAGCGCTTTTGAATAGTCATAACAATTTTTTTAACTACCGCTCGTTCGGAAAGCTGTCTCATTACAAGAAGAACGAGCAAGAAACTTGTGTGTTGCTCTTTTAAATAATCCTTGTAAGTTTACATTTACAAGTCGAAACGTGTGAATACAAACTACCAACCACTTTCTCTAAAGTTCTGTAAAGTGGCATTCTTAATTTAGTTGGGTCTGTTTGTGTAAACATAATATATCCATGGACAATTCACACAGCGCCATCTGGGTAGCTAGTCTAACGCAAGGTTAGAAGAGCTTATATTATAGGTATCTCTATACTCGATAACTAAAATAAATCGTAGCCGCTGCTTGGAGAAATATTGTTTGTAGGCCAACAATATTTAATTGCCTGTTGAATACTCGTAGCAGCAATCGGTTTGCTTCAAAAATCGATTTTTACACCTCTATAATTGCAAATGAATGGCGTTTCTTGCATCCATGTATGTTGCGTTGGGATAATTGTACTCGCTGTTTTTTACCTTACAATGCTTGAAGGACTAAATTTTATGTGAATCTCAACGAGGTTCGAGGTATTAGTTGTATGTAATAATTATAAAACACCAAATTTGTTAATTAAATTGTAATTATATTTTATTATTATATTTATTTATTTATTTTCTTCTTGTGATGAATCGGCATTCCGAATGAGTGGTAGAATCAAAATTTGACTATTCAAAAGTGCTTGTAATGAGTTTATTTGAATAAAGATTATTTCCATTTCCAATTTTCTAATTTCTATTTATTAAAATGTCGATATCATTAGCGGTGTAACAAAATATTGAAGAACATTAAAACAAAACAAATGACAATCGTAATCATGAGAACAGAGCGTTCTATATTTGAATATTATGAGTAAATTATGAAAGAGGTTTTAACACTTATTTTTGTTGGAGTTTCCAACACTAGACAACTGAGATAAGTGTGTGTGCAGTGTTCTGAACCGCCAGACCACCAAGGTCGTCATATATATGAATCTAACGTAGCAGGGGCAAACCTACGTCAATATTTTGATAAATTTGGATTAATAATATTTTCCATCACCGGAGAGTCAGTCAGAAATAAATTGACGCACAAAGATTTTGGTATCGACAAGATTTGAATTCATGACTATGACGATGCACGCTATTATTGTATATGATATTGTTTATTACTTATTGTTTGCGACTTTTAGTGAGAAGAGGGTCTTGATGGTTTAATAAAAATCGGAGATTCCTGGCTAGTTTTTAATTTACTTGATAAAGGTTTACAATGGTTGAGTATGATGGGCGTATATGATCGTTGAAGATTTTGAATATGAACTTATAACGGTTATCATGTTGTTTCTGGCCCGCTGAAATGCCAACGTTTCAGGGTTGCAATACAAAAAATAATATTTGGGCCACATATAGTAGTAGTAGTAGTAGTCCGCGCCTCAACACTTATATAATCATTGTT